ATATATATATATATATATATATATATATATATATATATATATATACATATATTGCCACTCCTACTTCGATTTTATTTATTTTTTATTAAAATGCCACAAAATATACCCGTGGGAGCAGAACTTTCTATAAGATATCTTAAAATATTCAAAACAACCTATACAACAACCCATAGAACAAATATCCGAAATACATTACATGGATATCCTATAAATATCGCGATATCTATAGGATATCCGTGAGATATATTTTGAATATTTGTTCTACATGCAAAGGATATCCTATATTTCGATCTAAAGAGGTTTGCACTATCTGAACATACCGAGAATATATAACTCTAATTTTCTCGAGAAAATAATTTTTTCTCTCTCAAAGCTGCCAAAAAAAGGTTTGGTTGAATTAACCAAATATCTGGTCGAATATGAACGATCCAGAAATTCCGATTGAAGTAACCCGAATTCTATTTAAGTTAACAAGATTTTTGGTTGACTAACCAAACATGTCTGGTTAAATAACCAGAAACAGAAGTTAACAGAATTCGGGTTACTTCAGTCGGAATTTCTGGATCGTTCATATTCGACCAGATATTTGGTTAATTCAACCAAACCTTTTTTTTCGTGTGGATTCTTTTTCACAATTTGTTAAACGCCCTTCTGTCCGGATTTTTAATGAAAAATCCGTTGGAAAGGAGACGACGATGAGTTGTGACGATGAGTTTCCGTTCGTGTAGATCGGAGGAAGAGGGCGAAGCGGAAATGAGTGTCGTCGATACCGCGTGTGTTCCAAAGATTCAATGTTGCTCGCGGAAGGAAGTTACGGTATCGCGGATACGTCGGTTCAAACGCAGCCGGCAGGAAGTGCTGGACGCGAAGAGAGCGCGACTGAGGCGGCTCCTGGAACGCGACGCGATCGAGATGGAAAACTCGCTACGAGATCTGGGATACGCTTTCATCGGCACGCATCCTTGACTGTTTTCGTCGCGAGCCTTCTTTTTTCGGATCCCCCTTTACGACCTTGAGTTTAACGGATCGACATTAAACGACTGCACTTTCACCGCTTTCGATTTCCCAACGCACCACACAGTCGCAACCAGGAAGTTGCCTCCTGAACATTCACGCGAGGCGCCGAAAAATTAGATGCAGTCGTAATTTTACGATTTTATCGACAATAAAAATTTCTCTCTCTCTCTTCCTCCCCCTCTTTTTCTCTTTCTTTCTCTCTGTGTCTCTTTTAACCGTGATATCATATATCAGTTCTTCTTTTTAATTATGTTGCAACATGTTAATAGATCCTATATAGTATAAATGTTCAAAATACATTTCACAGACGTCCCAGAAATGTTCTGATATCTCTGGAACGTCTCTATGATGTATATTTGTACTGTATAGGATGCAACATAGTTGTGTCAATATTACGATAGTCTCAAACGGCCATAGCTATGCAAGAATGAGATCCAATCCACAAAATTATGATTTTTAAGTTTTTGTCTCTCACCAATTGACAGCTCATACGTTTTTCCACACAAAGCAAAAGAGATTTAAATTTTATGGACGCCAAAAATTAATTAAAAAACAGGTTTTACTTTCCATTGGTCGCGCTATTTTTTACTAGTTGCCTCCTTTTCTACCAATTTTTTAAAGAGCTAAGCTTGTCAATATATATCCTTGAAGAGAAAGAAATTAGCCATGCTTGACTTCTTGAACGATTGCGAAGAATCTCAGTGCTGTCTATACTTTTTAAATTATGCATCAAAGTTTCATCTCCATTTTTGTCGAAACGTACTTTACGTGGGTCGTTCTTGCATCACTACGGTCAAATGTGCAAAATTGATAATTGCGTGACGTTGTTTCGAGGACGATTTATTATCTATCGAAGGTACATACATAATGTATACGCATACACATATGTGTTTTACCGTGGACATAAATAAAATATATCTTACACGTTGAGACGACGAGTGAAAATAAAGCGATTATCCTTGCTCTGTTAAGACTTTGGTAAGATACTTCATGCCAAAATAGAGGAGGATAGTAGAAGGTTGGAAAGGTGGAATGCGGGGTGGTGTAGAGGGGGGAGAGAGGAGAAGAGACGGAGATAATACGTGAGAAAAGGCGCGAATTCTCTAGTGACGTCTACCATATATTCGGCGCGTACGAAAAGTACTTCCTTCTGTCCTCTCTCTCTCTCTCTCTCTCTCTCTCTCTCTCTCTCTCTCTCTGTCGCTTTTCTCTTTCTTCCTTCGATTAATCCTCTCTCGCAACTTAGTCTACCGCAATCGTAATGAGTACTTGCTCGTCGAGTCGTCGTGACAATCACGTCGAAAGCACCACCCGTCGAGTCGCGAATTAATAACGCTATGTACTTTCCTATTGGACGGCATATTACGGCACTGTGAGTTGTTTGCGGCTTTGCGACAATATATACTTTTCTCCGTGTCGGACTCTCCTCTCGCGAGAAGAGCTGTTTTTGTTTCTTGTTTTATCCCTCCGAAAATGCGTGGGGCGATCTCTCATCCGCGACTAGTTACTTTCGATACGTTCTCTTCGAAGAAGAAGAAAAAGAAGCGCTTCTCCGCTCGAGATTCGTCTTTGGGTAGATCGCATTTAGAATGTATTCAGGGCGTACGGTGTGACTTTTCGAGGATACATCGCGTATACATATGGAGTATGTACGCGCGTACATGCGTGTCGTGTGGCTCTTTATACGCGAGCCAAAATCATCGGGGAACTTTCTCGGATACAGAGCTTAAAACCTGTTCTACAATATGCTCTTTGCTTCCTGCTTCTTTCTCTTTATCTCTTTCTGACTCAAATCTTAAGCTTTAAGCTTGATCTACAATGTGTTCTTTGCTTCCTGCTTCTTTCTGTTTATCTCTTTCTGACACAAACCTTAAGCTTTAAGCCAGAAAAAGATAAGACAAGAAACAGAATACAAAGAGCATATTGTAGATCAGGCTTTAAGCCAGAAAAAGACAAAAGACAAGAAACAGAATGCAAAGAGCATATTGTAGATCAAGCTTAAAGGTTTACAGGACCCTGACAGGAGTGAAAGTTAGGTCGAATTTGGGGAATTGTAAAAAGTTGTGAATTTTTTGTTATGTATGTCTATTAAGAAGATTTAACAATTTCTTGATATAAGAAAATTAGATTTTATGATGAATATCATTTTAGTTCTGTTCTGCAGAATAATTGTCACGCATTAATGTAATCATCACGTTTCAACATGATCTGAAATCATTATTAATACATTTTCTTATTCATTAAGCTTATAATTATCGGTTCACGGAGCAGATTTTGAGAAAAAATAATATTTCGCACAAAATGAGAGTTATAAAAAATCAAATATTTTTACTAAAAAATTCGGGCTTGTAAATTTTAAACATATCGAAATTTGTGGAAGGCCTGCGCGAGCCGATAAACCAGACAATTATGATAAATAGTTGTGTCAAACATTAAATTAATCGAGTAAATCATTCTCAAGTTATTGTAGTTACAATAAGAAAGTGCTATTTCTAAAATGACACGTTTAAAATTTTATAATGAATTTTTTTTTAATTTTTTAAATTCAAGATATTAAATAAACTTAACATATACATATATAACAAAAAAAATTTATACTCTTATTAATTTATAATTTTTTACAACTCTCAAAATTTTATCTCATTTTTACTCCTGTCAGGATATCGTAATTTCTAATCATTCAATCACATGTTTCACTACTGATGTGTGTATTGTTATGCAGTAACATATATATATATAACAAAATTATATATACGTATATATGTGTTTATTTCGGTATAATTTTTCTTTAATCATAAAGTTCTTAAATTAATCGCTTCAAAAGTTTTCGTTATTATGTTATCAGGTATGAAAAAAAATAAATAATCGCAACGCGCACGATCGCGTTGCCGCGAAGTACAAGAAAGCGACTTGTCGAGCTATCGAAACACTGATAATGCGATGCAGGAATATCTTCGCCAACGTTATGAACAACGTTGTGAACAACGTTATGGAGTGTACATTTCTCTCAAGTCGCACAGTATATCTGATTGATACACGACAAATTATGTACGCGCGTGCACGTACACATTCACGGAAATGAAGAGGGAGGGTGACATTTATTTACGTATTGGAAACATTTAAGGACTACTCATAAAGCTTCGCGTATACACAAATGAAACCAATTAAAGAGAAAAAAAGAAAGAAAAATAAGGAAAACTAAATTATTTTACATCTTTTCATTTTTACGATTCTCATAGTTATTGTAAATTGCCAGTGAGAACAATAGATTCCCCGTATAGAACTGTAACTACTAAAACTAAGAGACAAACGAGAAGTAAAACAGCAAAGTGTCGTCGCCGACAAGGTAATATCAAATATCTTCAGCTCTATATTTTCGTAATTGTCAAGTTAATTGGAGGACGATATCGTCGACTTTATTCAGTCATATCCGATATGAATAGCTGGACATTCAGTGTGTAATAAAATTTATTGCAATTATACGATCAACGATGTTATGTGCTTTGCTATGCATATAAACCTACAATGAAGTACATTAGATATGTTTGTAAAACTGCATATCTCTGAGTTTTCACCTACGCTGATTTCGCGCAAAATTCACCGATTTCGTCGAATAACGAAATGTTCCTGTTAGGCTAAATTTCATAAGGCCAGCGTAATGTTTTTACCTCGTCGGCGGCGTCGCGTACAAAAATCAATGTTTGAATAATTAACAAAAGTAGACTCAGTCGCTCTTAGAGTAGTCATGAGCTGGTCGTGCGGGGACAGAAGTCCGTCGATGCTGTGCATAATTAGACGCGATTGTAAGGGAACGTTGTCGGTGCTATCACACATACTGATACATGAGGGAGACGATGCAAATCGCACGTGCGCGACGTCCGCGTCGAGTCCACAGCCGATGACGAAGATAACGCGCGTCAAGAAGTCGAGGTATCAAGATCGTCCTTGGTTTGGGTCTTCCTGAAGACAGGAACCGCGATAGCGGCGATGATTAAGTAGATGATGCAGCGAAGAATATGCTTTGCTTTCATTTCAAGCGACATGTGGATGGATTTCTCGTCTCTGGTCTTAGCTTGATCTTGAAGTGCACTTAGAAGAATTATTCGTTCCGGGCGATTCGCTCAATTCACTATCCATTGGAGAACGCTGGTATCGGCGCCGCCGGTCGACACCAGCCGGGAATCGTCTTGCAGGAACGACACGTTCGTCACGTGACTCGAGTGACCGCCGTAGGAATGATAGAGTGACTGAAATAAAAATCAAATTTTGTCTCGAAATTAAAATGATAATTTGAAGCTTTGAGAAGTAATTGATAGTCAGATATTATATTTAAGATCGTTTTAAGGGAAGGTTTTATTCTGGTTTGAAAATAAGGAAGGTACTTTTCGGAGTTTTTTGTACGTCAAACTCCACATGTTCTTTTTAAGCCTTATTTTAAAAAAATATATATTTTTATTTTCCAAGTGACAAAAACGCTCTTTTTTTGTATGTTATATATTGTATGATTATTATGATCTCGCAAAAAAGAACGTATATGGACAGTGTAGATGATTTTGACTCTCTTGGCTATCCGCAACGCAAAACCTAGAAATTTTCTTGTTCAAGAGAAGTGGCTATCGTCTGAACTACAACTAAATCAATATTACCATTCTGACTAAAATGACAGAATTTAAATGAAAAAAATTTTAGTTTTTCCTGAAAGTATTGTTAGTATTTTATTAAAATAATAATAATAATAAATGTATGATATTTGTTTTCGTTCAGACGATAGTCGCATATCTCTTAAATAAGAAAAAAATTTTGTTTTCGCATTTCAATTATTTAAGGCTCGTATAAAGTCGTTACTTGAAACTTGTCTTGAAATAAATCTCAAATCTGAATTTAGAGTTAAATAAGTTTTTTATTTGAATTATATAATATTTGTGACATTACATTTGCAATCGCGATTTAGCTGAGAAATTCTAAATTAAAATCTGAGTATCTTATCTAAAGCAAGTTTCACGTAACAATTATTAATACGGATCTATGGAATCCGTAATCACACTTACACTATTCGTGTGCGTTTTCTTTGCGAGCTTCTAGTGGCCAGGATATAGTATACAAAAAAAGAGCGTCTTGACACTTAGACAATAAAAATATGTTTTTAAAGTAAAGTTAAAAGAATATGCAAAGTTTGACATTATTCGATTTTTCTGTTTTCTTATAAAAAATTTCGGGAAAATACTTTTTTTTCGCATCTTTTCAAATCAGAATACTCCCTTAAGTTCATCTTCATGCTACATAAATCGTTTCATTGGTTGCAAAGCATCTGAAGATAAACTTAAGACAATTTTCAATATAAGATCGAATACTAATCATAGATTTTCGATTAAGTTAAAGAATAGTCAAACCAATAAGAACTAATTTGACTAATTGGTCAGTTTACTATTGAAAGCGGTGAAAAGTAGCACTGGACTTTCTGATTAAAAACAGCTAAATTGCCTCAATTACCTTCGGCTGACACGCCGGATGGGAGAATAATTTGACTTTCCCGAAATCGTCGCCGGTAGACAAGAGTTTACCGTCGCCACTTCGCGTGCAGTTATTCACGTCGGTTCCGTCGGCACCTTCTGGCCAGATGCCGATAGTCTCGAAGGATATCACGCAGGTGTGGGTTGCCCAGTCGACGTTTCTCAGCATCGATGGCTGTGGAATCTGACGGCACACACCGGGATTCCCTGTCAATTGAAAACAGAAAACGTTATTCACGATGCATGGACATTAATTGACTATAGTTATGCAAGAACGATCTAATCCACAAAATTGATTTCTGAGTTTTGCTATATATATAATGAGTAATCTACGTATCTTTTTTCTACGTAAAAAGATTCAAACTTTATGGATCTTTAAAATTAATTAAAAGACAGTTTTTATTTTCTACTTGTTGCGTAATTTTTTACTAATTGCGTCTCTTTTATCTTTATTTTTAAAGTTTAAGCTTTTCTGTGAATATCTTTAAATAGAATAACATTGACTATGCTTGATTTCTTAAACGATTGCGAATAGTGCTATCTATATTTTTAAAATTATCTTTATTATCTTTATTTTTAAGGTTTAAGCTTTTCAGTGAATATCTTTAAGTAGAATAACATTGACTATGCTTGATTTCTTAAACGATTGCGAATAGTGCTATCTATATTTTTAAAATCATGCGTCAAACTTTCATCTTCATTTTTCTCGAAACTCTATGTGGATTGGATTATTCTTGCATAGTTACGGTCAATTTTTCGTTTCATTTCCCGTCAATAATTTTTCGTATTATCAATTTTACAATGTTTCTCGATGATATATCTTTATATCTAGTGATACATCGGTGAATAAATTCATTTTAAATAAATTCATTTTAAATAAATAATTCATTTTAAATAAAAAATTTATTTTAAATAAATTATCTCGAGAGTTACTTACAGTATAGCAGTTCGTAGTCTCCGCTGTTGCTGCGTAGATACTGACCGTCCACGGACCAGTCCAGATGAGTTATGAAACTCGAATGACCCTGGAATGAAGAAAGTTCCGTATATACGGGTAATATCGCGTATGATGCAGATTGTAACGATAAATTGCTGCAAGCACGTTTTGTTGCGTACTTGCCGCTAGCTAAAATACTAAATGATTGTCTCACGACGAGCTAACGACACAATTCTATCTTCTATCGTCTCGCAATTACAACATCTGGTTGCGATACTTTGTGCGAGAAGTGGTTTAACGTGCGCGTGCGGGTGCTAGGAAAGTTAAGCGGAAGTTCAACTAATTATGTCTCAGTATTTCTACGATCGTGTGTGAGAAGAAAAGTGAGGTACGTCGCGTTGCACGCTCGATTTTGCAGACAACTGTCTGACTGCGGTAACGGTTTGACGCGCACAACGCGACGTCCATCGTCTACGTTCTCGAGTGGCCGAAACACAAGTCTTACTCCGTGCCTTCGAATCCGCTTTGGCTAAAAATGGAAAAGAATCGCATTGAGTACCATCAAGAGGACCATTAACCTTCGAGATTAATTCGTTGAAAACGTCTCGTCATGCTTATATTACCGACTTGTTTAAATATTGCGCGTATATGTGTGTGTATGTGTGATATGTACAAATATATACACACATGTATATATAATTTTTGAGCCAATCATCTGAATAATCTTCTGAACATATATGATATATGTATTTATACATATTTGATATATGTATATATGATATATGTATGATATATACAGGGTGTCCCGCCACTACCGCATTATCTTTTAAAGACGGATTCCTGAGGTAATTTAAAGAAAAAAATCTTAATGTCGAGGTTATGATACTTTTTAAATTATAAACAACTAAAGTTGACCAATTATATAGACTAAAGTACGCGCGCTCAGGTACGGTACAACACACAATGGTACAGATGCATGCACATAAGTGAGAATTTGCATAAGATATGAAATTAGTTGTAAATCTCTGAAAGAAACGTCAAATGTGTGATAGCTTATTGATTCTCATAAATGTATTGTGTGATATTTTATTCATAACATTTTGGTGAAACTGTTATTATTTGCGATATGTTTATTTAAATGATAGAAAAGGCAGATTATTATTACATACGTTGTTGTATGTATGGAACTTCCGTATCAATATTTGGAAAAGAGATGACATGTGCATGCACCGGTACCATTGTGTGTTGTACCTGAGCGCGCATATTTTAGCTAGTATAATTGGTCAACTTTAATCGTTTATAATTTGAAAAGTATTATAGCCTCGCTATTTTTGCATTAAGATTTTTTTATTCAAATTATCTCAGGAATCTGCCCTTAAAAGATAATGTGGTAGTGGCGAGATACTCTGTACATGATGGAATAACTCATATTCAACCAAAAGACAACGATCTGATAATGGCTGCGTTCCAAAATTCACTACCAGTGCTGAAATTCTATAGTATACGTGACATAAACTATAGATTTTCAGTGAACTATAGATTTTCATCGGTAGTGAATTCCGGAATGCAGCTAATGGCTACACTGCAAATCCAAGTGTTATTTTTAAACGTATAAGTGTGTAATTTGGCTGAAGCTTTTTCTACACGTTTCTTATCGTTTTGAGTCTCATTATTTAACACGCTATATATAGATTGTAATTTAGTGCGCTTAAGCATGTTAAATGACGTAACTTAAAACAAGTAAGAAACGTGTAAAAAAGGATTCAGCTAAAAAGCATACTTAGATTTGCAGTATATTGATGAATAATTATGTTTTCTAGCAAGATAAATATGTACACGCGCTCGAATATACATTATTTAGAGTACATGTAATAATAAATATCAATCTTGAATATTTTACAGATTAAACATTGAGGGATAGATAAGGTAAATTATTTCGAAAGTTACTTACAGCGACTTTATTATACGGAAATCGTATAAAAAGAGGATAACCGATAATTTAAGATAATTGATTAACAAAAACGTTATTCGTATAAAATATCGCATAGACATAAAAAAATATATTTTGTTTAATATCGCACTTATTAAGAAGACGATTTATTAAATGTGGAAATAAGTTGATTCTTGAAAAAATAGTATTTTCGTAAAATCGTAAAAGATAAATCTTACTAAGATATCGCATGTGGATCGCTGATGACGCGATTATTATTGATTTACTTACCATGCACCGTCCAACTCGACTGTATTTGGTCGCGTCGTCGTTCACTTGGTAGATGTAAATGTAATTGTCTCTAGAGCCTAGTGCAAGCAGAGAACCATCGGGCGAGAATTGTACGGCCTGAAATCACAAGAAGCGATAAAATTGTCATATATTGGTTACATTGTCAATTGGTTACGGTTTCACGCAATCAGATAGGTCTGTTATTTACCGAGGCACTTGCTGAACTGGCGTACAGTCCGGGACTAAAAGGTTGTCTGTAATTTTTGGAGTGAGTTTGTGAACTCATCTTTCTTGTCCAATGAAAGCATTCTCCCATCGGAAAGCAAATTCTCTCACTGGACAAAACGGGGAGTTCACATTCCAGAAATTACGGAAAACCTTTTAGTCCCCAAATGTATATTAGTGTGATAAGATAAAAGTATCAATATTCGGACATAACTTGAACACCCTTTTTGTTTTGGTCTTTAGATATAAATATTTTAACTTTCAACATAAAATGTATGTACAAATATTGAGTATGTAAATATATTCTATGTTAAAAGTTTAAATATTCGTATTTAAAGACTAAAACAATAAGAATGTTCAGAATTAAGTACGTGTCTGGGAATTGGTATCTTTATCTTAAGTCTGAATGAAATAAGTGTATTTTGTTTCACTCTTACCAGTTCAGAGAGTTCTTCGAAAAGGAACAGACCTATTATGCCACGTTACAGAGACTCGATCGTTTCAGCGAACATTTTCGAGTCGAGAATATGTTCGAGATGTTTTCAAATTGATTTCGTGAAGCATGAATTATAACGCTTTTGCATGAACATACCTGCAGAGGTTCGGAACCATCGCTGTGGTGCGTGTACAATTCTCGCGTCTCGCTATCAATAGCAAGCCACTTCCCGGACACGCAACCAACGACTATAACGTTGCCATCCGGCGAAAAGGCAATGCTTTGCGCTTGCTCCTGAAACAGGTCAAAGGGGGGTCAGCAACGGAGTCAAATCTTCATGTTATTTCATTTTATTTCATTAATTCTAATTGCACCTAATATTCATTTCATTTCATCGAATCACATCTTTGTCTTTGATCTTCATATTTGTCGTGGGAATTGATTATTTCTCGTAAAAAAGTAATGAAAATCAGCAACGTTATCTGTTTTGTTGTCTGTTTTGTTGTATCAATTAACTATTCAGTCTTTCAGTGAAATTCACGCGTATTCTGCCGAATCTAAATGCAGCCTTTCGAAACACGACGAACGTGCTGGCCATTCATTCGAACATGTTTCTTGCTAAGATTAATAAACGCAACCTACCCCGATGTCTTTACTCCACACTACGGTGTGGCTCAGGCTGTCCCACATCTGCAATAACCTGTCGTGCCCGGCGGTGGCGAATTGAGGTAAAGTGGGATGGGCCGCGAGTCCCCAAACTTCCTCAGCGTGGCCCAACATAGCCGGGTTGAAACCCATTTCGACGTCGCCGACGAGAATGCAGTTTCTCGTCGTGCCGACCAATAACTGGGAACCTCTTCCTTCCGAAAGCGTTCGAATCCCGCCAAAGTGATCCTCGATCTGTCCGATAAACATCGTTAGTTTTTATTTATTAATTTTTATTTATTTTTTTATTTATTAATTTTTATTTATTAATTTTTATTTGTTTTTTTTTTATAATATCGGAAAACTGTGATATAAGTAAAGCTGAAGAAGAAGCGCTTTGTCTAAATATGAAATTCGACCTTATTTGACTTACCTGCGCTTCCTCGCCGCTTAAATTCAAAGACGCGTCGAAGTGCAAGATCCTGCCGTCCTTTCCGCCTCCCGTGATAATATTACCATTCTTCAGAACGCATATAGAGAAAATCGATCCTTCATGGAGATTCCTCACTAATCTTGAGATAGTATTTGTACCTGCCCAGCAAACACAGAATATAACTATTATTATGATATAGAAATAACACGTAATATTACGGATGTTATACGTTATTAATGTTAAAGTTACATAATTTTCTTTTATAACTGTAATCTATCTGTATTTTATAATTCTCTGTTATTTACAAGTTATAACACCAACATAACTAAAATATAACGAACGTTTATTTGCATCACATCTATGTTATATAGCATTCTTACATCTAAGGATCGTATCAGTCATTAGGTGGCTTCCATTTTCTCGTGTCTTTCTCGCACGTAAAATATGATGCATTAATATATATAAGAACGATGATCACAAAACGACAAAACCTCTACTATGGAGTCCACTTTTATAGTAAAGTGAAGTAGTACATTTTTTAATTAATGGAAGTTAGTGTTACAATAGTAATTCCTTCCATTTGATGAATACGTATAGAAAGATGGAAATGAATAAATGAAAATAGCTCCAATAGCATAAAATGCCTGAAGATGTGCTGCTACACTAGATATCTAGAATGGCTTTATGATCATTCTGGAATATCTTGTGTTATTTAAGAGCTAATTAATTAGGATGGCAAGTCACTTTTATGCTATTATCTTTACTAAAAATATTTTTTATATAAAATATATAATTATAATATTTTAAAGAGCATACTTTTACAAATTAATTGATATTTGAGTGATAGCTTGTAATCTCTGCGTACAATTAAATACCTATATTTGCTGGGAAATAATAATTTATATTCCAGCTATATATATATATATATATATATATATATATATATATATAACATTTCAGCAATATATATAACATCCGTATATTACTTTTATTTTATAAGTTATATTCTGTGTTTGCTGGGAATTTTTTCTGACAGACAGACAGAGAGAGAGAGAGAGAGAGAGAGAGAGAGAGAGAGAGAGAGAGAGAGAGAG